ACATAATTGATCAAGGATTTACGAGGATGGGAGGATGGTGAGGGAGGGGTAAAAAGAGGAGCTGATGCCATGGGCTCAAGTAAAAAGAAAATGTTTGGGAAATGTTGACAGCAACATATGTACAAGTGTGCTTAACACAATTGAATGATGAATTGTTATAAGATTTGTAAGAGCCCCCCCAATAAAATGAGTAAATAAAAAAGAATATATTTAGATAATATATATACCTATAATTTAGAATCTATATAAATGTATACTGTATTTCAGTTATATATATGCAATTATACAAAGGGGCTTCAAAAAGTTTGTGGGAAAATTAAATGAAAGAGATAATGATACTGTTCTTTGAGCTTTTGAAGCCACTTCATTTATACATACTTATATATGTGTGTGTGTATATATGTAAATGAAATTTATTTTTATTAACTTCTCAGTGAGGAGAAATACTTCTTATTTTGCTTTCTTCTACAATACGCTTAAAAATCAACTTGTTCATTGCACAACTCTTTTACTATATTTAAACCATTTAATTCTATAGTATTTAATTCTATGTCAATAAAATTGTTAGGATTTTTTTTTTAATCAACTCACTTATTTTTTAGAAAACTATCTGTGAAGGATCCTGGACTTTTAGATCCCAAAGAAAATTTAGACACAATCTAACCAATAAAAACAAATTAAATCTCAGAATCTTTTTCTTTTGATCAGACTTACTGGTCTGATATAGTGAAATCAGTATGGATTGTGATAAGAATTGTATGAGCCTCTAATAAAATGATTTTTAAAGAAAGAAATAAAGTTAGTGAAACCCCTGAAACTATGGCCATTCGACACTTATCACGTCTAGAACAGAACCCACCCTCGAGGATCAACTTACAATCAAACAGTCATAGGAGTAATAACAGCTGGAGGACTGTACGCCCCAGTGCAGTCAGCCCCATGCGACCACAAGGGCCGCATTGGCCCAAACAGTCAGAAGGCAGGAAGGGACATGAAAGAAGGACGACTGGAAACCAGGAGCTTCCCTCGAGAGTACCATTGAGGTGATTGCCACCAGTGTCACCCAAGAAAACGGGTATCCATTGTATTCGTCCATCACGTGCTCTGCAAACCTTCACCAAACTATAGGGAAAAGTTGAAAATATGTATTTTTTAATATATAAGATAT